GCAGTATCATTGGTCCTTATGTGACTGTTGCCCATGAAATGGGTCATAACTTTGGATTCGCTCATGACACAGGTGAAGATAAAGTACAAAGTACAAATTTAAGATATTAACGATCACCTCAATACTTTGGGAAACCCAGTTTGATCATGAGTAGCCGATTAAGATGTAAGTAGTGAAGTTGAAAATGAAATCCATGTGTCTTAAAATGACTATCAGCTAAGATGTATGGAAATAACATTTTAATCAAAAAGCGTATTTTTCCCCACGCCATGACTCATTCTAATGTGGTATCATTTGTTAAGGCACATCATGTGATGTTCCCTTGCATTTGTTCGATGAGATAAGTCTTAGGTATTGTTGTGGTTTTCTTGTAAACATTCACAAGATATCCCCGCAGTGATATTTTGTTCGAACTTGTTCATCCTTCACATTTCGTTGTTATCTTCATATTTTTTACTATTGATTTTTCTCTCTTTATTTTGTATGTTTGCAATATTTCGTCGCGATTTAGGGACCTGCAAGTGCTTAACTCCGCGAGGCTGTATCATGGGAGGTCACAAGTATGTCACCTTACATGAAGATACAATTACATTTCTAGAATGATAATAAAGCAAAGGATGTCTCATAAATTTTCACGATAATCTTGTTATTTTGACTATATCATTTATTCAAATTAAGGTTGTCAGAGAACTCTTTCAAAAACTGGGTTTTAAGTTTGTAGTATCGGTCAAATGAAACATTAACAAAAACAGATAAAGATAAAGCAACTGGGGCCGCCCTCGCGTTTACGTAGTCTCATGTAAACACTAGGAAGGGGGGGGTATTTGAAAAAGCTATGGAAACGCAAGACACAGTCTTGGCTTTCGGGAACTATCTCTTCTCCTCCCCATCCTCCTCAATGTTAATATGAAGCTGTATAAAAAAGCGAAGAGTGGCTTTACTTCTCAACTATCATTGGTGTTTTTGTATATTTGTAGTACGCACACATGTACGTCGCAACCATGTTTACACACCCTTATCTGAATATACCTATCGACCAACGAGGGCGCACACGAGCTTGATTGATTTATTAAGCATAATTAAAGACACATTAGAGCTCAAACGACGACCTACCAGTCTTAAAATTACAGTTTTCAGCCCTTGGAATATTTGGTCATTAGTAGAAAGGAAATTTACATGTTTTTAATATTCTTATCTCTGCACTTAATCCGATGACCCGACAAATTTTCTCGCAGGACCAGACTTCCAGGATTTTCAAATTGCAGTTTAACGTCGCTGCAAAGGGTTAACGATGCTTGCTTGTACAACGTGCCAACTTACAAGGTAACTGCTATAAATCGTTACACACGCAAATCAAGGAGATTTACGGGCATTAGGATCACGCACACTGTCACTAGCTTTTCTCTTCCATTATGGAAAGATTTGCTGAAAATAATTTTTCTAGGTTCAGTATCAACCAGAAAAGCAATCCTGATGAATCGAGACGCAAATATCCCCACACCAGTTCGCCTTGGATATATTTAAGATTGCTGATACTGTTTGCACCACCTAACAACAAAAGCTCGCAAAGGTTTATGGGAGCGTCACAAACAAGGCTACTTGGAAACGCCAGAGGGGCAATAAAGTGCCTTCAAATGACTGTAACAGTTTCTATCCTAAATATCAAGCATTTAACGATTTCTTGTTCTTGTACTTGCACTTTCGAGCCTCTATGAAGATTTGCGATTCAATACGAACAAAAAAAAGGATGTAAAATTCAAGTCTCCTACAAAGCGTCGGAGTAATTACATAGAAAACAGTCAACCGTCAGTGATACCGCCCCATGAAGACCCTCCAGTAACGATAAGAGTTTAAATTTGTTACATGTCGCGATTGTTCCAATTTTAGGCTGTCAACGGTTACTGTGGAAACGGCATACGCGAAGAAGGAGAGGAATGTGACTGCGGTACTCCAGAGGTTCGTAAATCAACATTTGAAGCATAACGTGCTTTTAAATTGCATAACTGTACATAGCAACTAATGGTGTTCGGCCATCGAAGTAGCTGAGGAAGAAGGTACCATTCCCTTCTTCAAAATTTACATTTAAATATACTAGTTATTTGTCTTAAGAAAACTCTTTAACCATTTTTTCCAGCTTCACGGGGTTGCCGGGGGGATTTAATTGCAGTAACGTACGTTTTATTGTTTAAATGACTTCTAAGAACTTTTGTTTTAATGTTCTCAGATGTGTGAGGCCCGTGATCCTTGCTGCGAACCCCACAATTGTGTTCTCAAAGAGGAGTCACAGTGCAGTGACCTACATCATTCTTGCTGCAAAACTGCCTGGTAACAAGCTGATCAGTATTTAATTATATCTTGAAGGAGACAGCTAAAACTTCGTCTAAACAAATTAGTTGAACTATAAACTGGATTCAATTTAAAAGGATTCGGGTTCAACTGATTAAAGAAACTTAAAAAAAAATATGTCAAATCCAATAAGAAAGATATTTATTTTGATTGACAAAAATATTTAAATATATATTTTATCTAGAGATATAAAAGAGAACAGAATAAATAATAATGCATAGTGTTTTACTCTTCTTTAGTTTAAGAAACAAGGAAAATTATGTCGCGCAGTCCAGTCAGATTGTGACGTTCCAGAGTACTGCACTGGTGATTCAAGAGACGTAAGCACATTTAAAGATATGTTGTCGTAAACCCCTTTCATGAGTCTTTGTCGGGGCTATCAGGCAACACTGTAGTTGTCCGTTCGATCACTAGAGACAGCTATCCTTCACAAAAACAGGCGCTGTAATCGAAAAAAAACTCGTGTATATTGCCTATAGTTAAGTTTCGTTAATTCCTGCGATGCCACCAGCTTTAAACATTTTTAAGCATGTAAACTAATGTCTCGGTAACACATGTGAAAGAACTCAAAGTGTAGGAGTTCTTTTTTTGGATGAGAGCACGTGGAATTTAGGTTCTGTCCTACCAGAAACCCTATGATTATTATTATTATTATTATTATTATTATTATTATTATCTCATTATCATTAGCATCATATATTTGTTTAACCTGCTGTTTGCCTTCTAAACTGTTAGTGTCCAGAGGATTCTTACATCATCGATGGATATCCTTGCGACCAGACTAAAACAGTACGTTCAACAAACAGTGAAAGAGGAATATTATTTAGACTTTGTCATGGGCCTCTTCATTTCACCAATTTTCCAGAGCTGCCAATAGAAAGGAGCTCAGTATTCGCTACAAAATCTAGAGAGATTAGTAAATTTCATAATCATAGTCCGCGGTCTTCCTTCCCAATTCATGGTTTCTTCTTGCGTTTGTGGGTTCCTTTTTTAGAGGCTTTTCACAAGGAATGCTTGATTGAGAAAAACCAGTGGTGCGTAACATTAAAAAAAATTATCTGACTTACAACAATTGTAACGTATTTACATGTGTCCATGTGGTTGACAGCTAGAAGTCCATATGTCGGTTCATGGTTCATTTTTGTGTTATTTTTAGTGCGTTATCTCTTTCTTTTACAAAGTAACCTTTATTGTTGTTATCATCGCAGGTAATTCAGGGAAACACCAACTTCTACAGTATTAAGACAAGAGACTTGAACCCAAAAGTCACTGCTCGATATCTTCGTATCAATCCTCAGTACTGGAAAGGCTGGCCTTGTCTGAGAACTGATTTCATGGGATGTTCTAAAGATGAAGGTAAGAAAACGCTACAGGCTGATATAAATTTATATATAGCAGACAGTCAAGACAATTAAAACGAAAGTAAAGCTTCCCGTAGCTCAGAGCGTTCTAAGAGAAAGAGGAAGGAAATAAAAAATTCAAAGCTTGTTAATCAAATAAAATCTTTCTCTCGATGTCAGTGTTTCATTGAAATTTTGTTTTGTTTTTCTGATTTTCTGCTTTTTTTTTTTAGCAAGTCCAACAGAGCCGACACCACTGAGGTCTTATTACTTAAACCTTTGCCTCACTACGAGAAGCAAGAATTGCACACCAGATGACAACGATCTCTTAGAATATGCATCAGGTGATCTTTGCTTAGAAAGTCATTTTCAATTTACCCTTGGAGCAGACGGGGTGTTGCGCCACACTTGCAGTGGGAAAATGGTTTGTCCTGAAAATGGCGGTACACGTAATGGTGTGAGGATTGTTGTCAGTAGTACCTGTACACTTGAAGACTCCAAATTTGAAAGAACTTCAGGTAAGAAATAAAGAGGGTCGGCATGTTTTTCATACAAAAAACGAGTAGCGATTTCCCAAAAAGGTTCGTGTAAAATTTGATAGA